CTTGTGCTCACTGCTTAATATAAATCTCCATCGGGTTAAGTTTAGGGTAGCTTTGAGGATAGTGCTTTAGCTGGAGTGAAGATAAGATCTTCCCTCAAGCCCAGCTGAATACCTGGATTCTGGGCTCTCAGGGCACACAACAGTGGGAATGAAGTGTACTCTCCTCAGTAGACCCCTCCTATTTAAAGCAGCAATCTACCCCCTGCCTGGAGTTGTCCAAAGTCTGAGGAAGACAGGGTGAAGTGTTAGATGTGGAGTGTACTGGGGCTGGGGTGTGTGCTAGGTGGACGTGGGGCTAGTGACACCCTGGGGACCCCAGCATGAGGATCTCTACCACCTGTCCAGGAAGCTGGTGCTGATCACTGGGGGTGGGGGGGGGCATTGAAGGCTCAGGTCTCTGAAATTTATTTTTAAATTTACTGATTTTAGAGAGAGAGGAAGAGAAAAAGAGAGAGAAAGAAGAGGAGAGCAGGAGAGAGAAAGAGAGATTTGTTGCTCCACTTATTTATGTATTCTTTGGTTAATTTTTGCATGTGTCCTGACCAGGGATCCAACCCACAATCTTGGTATATTGGTAGGACACTCTAACCAATGGAGCTACTGGGCCAATGCTCAGGTCTCTGTTTCGAAGATGTAGCTCTGGAGCAGCAAGGAGGCAATTTGGGGAAGCAGAGAGCTGTGGTGAGGCTAAGTGGGAGCAGGGTTTGCCTAAGCACCCCTGGACAGGAGTGTAGGGATGAGGGAAACCTGGAAGATGCTGAGCTCCCAGCTCAGCACAACTGTAGGTGCAGCCAGCTGTGTCGGGCAGTTGCCCCTGCCTGCCTGGGGTCAGGACAGGCGGTGTTATCAGACTGCCCAGCTGGCTCAGAGGTGGCCCCCTAGCACTGCTAAATCGGGCAGTGGGCTCCTGCCACAGGAAGCGGGAAATGCAGGCAGGATGTCCTCTCCTGTGGCCCATGAGTTCTTTCCCATGAACCCCTGCTGACCTCGCTGGCCACGTGGCAGGTCTCCCCCACTCACCACCCTGACCTATGTCTGTTCGAGGGGCCACCCACACTGGCCTGGTCTGGGACAGAGAGTGCCTGCTGTCTGACCACCCAGCTTCAGCTGCCAACACGATGTAGACCCGCACCTTCCTCTCCTAGACTTCTGCCTTTGGCCTGAGCGGAAAACCTAGACCCCAGAGGAAGCCAGTGTCTGAAAAGGATAGAAACTCAGGGATCCCTGGCTCCAGTCCCAACATGTTGGCAGGGTCTTGCTCAGAGGTCAGTGCAGGGAGTGTGAGTGGCTTTCCGGACCCCTCTCCCTGCCTATCCCCCCCCTTCAAAGGGTATCTCAGAGGGCTGTGGGGCACAGGCTAGGAAAGAAATCTGCTATGTGGAGGAAAACGCCCAGATGATAGCAGGAGGGGTGTAAGCTAGACCTAGAGAAGAACTTCCCCTCATGGCTAAGACCCCATTTGATTTCGCTGGGTTCCCTGATTTTCCTCAGCTCCATCATAGTCAAATGCTCTCAACTTTCCTCTTTCCGTATCTGGTCAAATTGCACCAACTGGGTCTCCAGGGAAATCCTGTTGGAAATCCACCCAGAGTACCAGCCTCCCCAGTGGAGCACCTTTTCCCACATCCAATATTCCTCCCAGGGTCCCCAACTGGTAAACAACGTCAAGCCCCATTCTATTGCTTAAGCCAGAAACTGGTCCTTGTCCCACTTTCCCTACCATCCCTAGTCCCTGCTGCCCGCTACCCTGGTGCATCTACTGTGTTCACTCACAGCCTCCTTGCTATGGTTCTCATCTGATCTGTGCCTCTGGTGATTCTTCATAGACCCTGGCCAGGTGGCTCCCTGGTCAGAACCTCCCCTTTCCAGATGTGCTGGTGACTCCTGCCACCTCCACCTTGTCTCCCTTCCACCCCAGATTCTGGCCTCATCTGACCACCCACATATCCCCATACACTGTCTGGACTTTCCTGTGTCTGCGTCTTTGAGGGTTTTTTTGCCCTGCCTGGAATTCCCTGCCCTGGAGTTTGCAGACCCCTCCAGGAAGCTCCGGGATGGAAGTGCTGCTGTCTTCCCGTGCAGCCACAGCCACCAGCTGGGCTTCACTGGAGTCACTGAGCACTTCTGTCCCTGTGCTAGACATCTGATGCCACATCTGTGTCCCTGCTAGTCTGACTCAGGAAACCCTTGCAGGATGGGTCCAGGTCCAAATTCTCTCTGGACCACCCTGAGCACCATAGCTTGTGACTTGCACAGAACTGTAGTTGCCTTCTCTGGGTTGGGGTACCACAGCTTTGGGGCAGGGTGGGGAAGGCACAGCCAGGAGCTGGCCAGAATGTCTCCTGTGACACCTCATGACCACTGTGCTCTGGGGAGCCAGAACCCTTCAGCCACGCTGACCCTGGAGGCCTAGTGGGTACATAAGTAGCATCCACATCAGTGTATCTGGAGCACTGACCTGGGGCCAGTGGTTCACAGGCACCAAGTAATGTGGGCCCAGGCACCACATCCCGCCTGTACCAACTTGCATCCCTGCCTCCCCCCCACCCCCAATCTCACATACTTGGATTTGGCTCAGGGCTGAGGAGCTGGGACAGAGGAGAGCTGGGATGTCTCTGTGCAACTCAGCTCACAACAGGGGCTAATGCAGCTGCCCAGCTATCACCTGCTTCCCCTGCATGTCCCTGAGCTGACTGCCCACTTTCCAGAGGTGCAAACAGCCTCTCTCTAGACTAAGCCCACAAGACAAATTCTCTTGGAGCTGACCTCTGCCACCTGCCCGCTCAACAGGGACATTGCCAGAGTAGATTTTGAAACTGGACTGAGACACCAGGCCATGAATTCAGCCCAAGCACAGCCCCTCAGTATTTGCCAGCCTGTTACACTACTACACCTGGGAGAGGAAAAGAGGGGCCCAGGCCATACAGCAAATAACTTAGGGGAAGAGCTGGGATAAGGGTTTGGTTTTAGGACCAAGAGCACACCTTTGAGGGGTCAGCTTCAGGGTCCTTAGGCTTTTCCTGCCAGCGCCTGACCTCCCACTGTGGCTGTGCTGACACTCCACTGAAGTGTATATGCTTCTGCTCCAGCATCCCCCATCAGGCTGAGAATCCTCCTCCTTGCCCAGCAGTAGGTGGGGCAAGTGCAGGCCCCAGTGAGGGCAGCAGTGGTCTCTACTCTCTGTGGGCATCTTCCCACCAGCCAAACCCTGGTCCAGCCTGGGCCACCCCCTCCATAGGCCCCTTCAGCTATCATCCTCTCTCTTCCCCTTCACTTCCCAACTTGGGTAAGAATCACCTGTACTCACAGCAGGTCTGGCCTCACCACTTTCCCTCCTTGACCTCCCAAACACCAGGACATCAGCCTCTCCTAGTTGTGCAGAATGTTCCCATCTCCCTGGAAGCCTCTCCCTCTCTGGCCCCCTCTGTGAGAGGGCATCCCGTCCTAGACCCTTCTCTAGCTCCCCGGCCCAGTCTCTCTACACCCAGCTGCCTGCCAGATGTCTCCTCAAGGTAGGGTCTCCCACCCACTCAGTCCAACCAGGGACCTATTCACTTCTCCCATACTCATTCAGCAATTCAACAAACTCATACTGAACACCTGTGAAAGCCTGGACCTGGGCTGGGTGCAGGGGAATGAGAAGAGCCCAGGAGTGGCAGGATCAGTTCAGACTGGTCCAACTTGAGGCCCACACAGATGCCCTCCTGCCTCTCTGGAAGTTCATCCACACCTCCTTCAGCCCATGAAGGCTGTTTTCCCAAAGACCTGGGCTGACTACTTCCTTTACTACTGGCTCCCTGGGGACCTTGGAGAAGTTATAATATATCCTTTGTTTAAGTGTCTCATCTGAAAAATGGGTCTAACACCCTCGTGAAGATGAAAAGAGATGGAACATATAAAGCCAGTATTTATTGCCCACAGTTTTCCAAAATGGTGAGATCCACATCTTCCCCTTCAGACCTCCCAGCACTACTCCCCCAATCACTGGGGACCCATGACCCTCCCTCTTACCCTCTGATTTCCAGGGCTACCAGGTCTTGTATGGAATTCCAGCTCATTCCCCTCTCCACTACTGATGCTTTATTCCTGACATGTCCACCCGACCATACACTCTGCCTCCACCCCCACCCCACCCACTTTCTCTCCAACCCCACAGCGGCAACCGGCAACCTCCAGTCATGCTCCCATTACAAACTAGACCTAACCTCTCCAGTGCTTAAGACCCTTCCATAGTGGTCCCTGCCTTATGGTCCAGGCTCCTTAGCTCAATCTTCAAAATCCCTACATCTCCAAATACGGGGAAGGCCGGCCTCCTGTCTCTTGTCATACTTATCGCTCACAAGTTGCCGGCTCAAGATTCGCCTCAAATTCCAACACGCACCTGAGCACAATCCTCCCGACCGCGGCTCTCTGCAGCGGTCGCGGAACCATTGCCCCCTCAGTCCCTGGCCTGGGGAAGGTGGGAGCCTGCCCCGAGCACCCTCTGCGGGACAGATCTCGAGCGCAGACGGGAGGTGTCGGGAAGTGCGCACCCAGGTCCACTGCCGGACGGGGATTGCCGCCTCGTCGCTCTGGGACGATTTTGGGGGCGCGCGCGGGCTGGAGGGTCCGGACTCCGCGGAAGAGCGAGTAAGGAAGCAAAGAATTCAGAATGAGAATGCAGCGCGACCTGGACCGGCTCCAAGGCAGCTGAACCACGGACTAGAGCGAGGTCGGGAAACCCGGCACTATCCTTGCGCTGCGGTGCAGCCGGAGCCTCGTCCCTGACCCGGCCGCAGTCCCCACCCGGCCTTTCCTCATCCCGGCCGACCTGGGCCCGACCTGCCGTGCTCTGTCCGGTGTCCGTATCCCTGGTTCCTGGCCCCGTCTCCCCTGGTGCCCCAAGCTTGCGGGTGTCCAGTTTCCCGTCCCTACCCCATCAGAGAGATCCCACCACTCGCCCCAGGAGAGTGTCCCCTTTCGCGGCCTGTTGCGCATTCGGGCACAGGTGGAGAGCTCACCGCGCTCACTGTTGAAGAGTCCCAGGCAGAGCCACAGGCGCAGACACAGCGCGGCGCCCTGCTGCATCTCCAGCCACTGCGCGCAGGTCCGACCTGACCGGCCTCTACTGGGGGATCAGAGTAAGCGCAGGCGGCGGGGCCGGGCCCGGCCGGGCCGGGCCGGGGCGGGGCTCTGAGGGCGGGACAAGGAGCTTGGGACCGCCCCCCTCACCTCTCAGCTCCGCCCTTGGCCGAGTGGGCATCCAGCCAGGATCAGAGGGTGCCTGCTTGCGCCGCTGATGGGAGGCTGTTGAGTGCCCAGCTCTGGGTAAACCGCTGCTCTTGAGCACCCCAGGGCCGCTCCGGGAGGAGAATGCAGGTAACGCACATGTCTTTTGTTGTGCGCTTAAACAGGAATTGAGCCCGGCAGTCAAGGTAGAACAAAATGTGACAACGCGTATTTTTCTTTGATATTCTTCAATCAGTAAACACTACATTTAAAGAAAAAAAAAAAAGCAATAAATATAACTTAAAAATAACTATATGTTGCTCTGGCTGGTTTGTCTCAGCGGTTGGAGCGTCGGCCTGCTGACCAGCGAGTCCAGGGTTCGGTTCCTGCAAGGGGCACATACCCCAAAAAACCCCCAAAAATTATATGTCAAATCTTTGAGAACATTCCTCAAACTTGATCTTATCACCTATGTGGTGTGGATGGAAGCTGTATGTACCTTTGGGCTAGGCACCCCAGGTAACCCACCTCCACCATGCTCGCACGTCCTCCTCTTCAGATCTCCCCTAAATATTTTTGCTCTGAGCTTGTTCTTTTTTTAAAAAAATCATTTTATTGTTGAGAGTATTACAGATGTCCCTCACCCCTTCCTTTCCCCCTCTCTATCCATCTCCCATCTCACCCCAGGCCTTCACCTGTCTATGTATTGTGCGGGTCCATGGGCTATGTATATATACACATAAATTCTTTGATTAATCTCTTCCGGCCCTCCTTCCCACCTTCCTCTGAGATCTGTCAGTCTGTTTAATGCTTCCATGGCTGTTGTCCTTTTTGTTCCTCGGTTTATTTTGTTTCTTAGATTCCACATATAAGTGAGATCATGTGATATTTGTCTTTGTCTGACTGGCTTATTTTGGTTAGCATAATCATCTCCAGATCCATCTATGCTGTCTTAGAGGGTAAGAGATCCTCCTTTTTTACATCTGCCTAGTGTTCTGTTCCACTGTGTGAATGTACCACAGCTTTTGTTACCCACTCATCTACTGATGGGCACTCGGGCTGTTTCCAGATCTTAGCAATTGTAAATAATGCTGCTATGAACATAGGAGTGTGAGCTTATTCTCAAGTCCTTTTATCAGGTGACACTTTACTCTCTGACTTGGCAACTCTCCCGAAGACTTCCTTTCTCTTTTCAGTTCTGTCTTTAGAATTTTCCTATTTAAAAATAAATCTCATGACAATGACTATCTCCCCGCCTTTGTTTTTATTCTACTTTATTCATACTTTTCCCACCTCTCCCCTCAATCTATTCATCCTTGCCAAAAACCAAGACCAGGTTGTTGATAACCATGATCAACTCTCAAGTGTAGGTAAGAATTGAATAATATATTCAATTAATATTACGTTGGTATCACAACTCAGAGGGAAGATTTTATATATATATATATATATATATATATATATATATATATATATATATATTTTATCCTCACCAGAAGATATTTTCCCACTGGTTTTTTCAGATAGAGTGGGAGGGAAGGAGAGAGAGAGAGAGAAATTTCAACTTGAGAGAGAAGATTGGTTGCCCCCATACAACCCCCACGAGGGCTGGGATTGAACCGGAAGTCGAAGTGCATGCCTTTGATCCGGACTCCACCCTGCAACTAGGATGGCAGGTTTATGCTCTAATCGCTGAGCCAAACCAGTCAGGGTTTCAGTAGGGATAGTTTTGATGATTTAATAAACAAGTGGGGGAAACTAGGCAACCAAATAGTAAATGAAGTTAGATTTTTTTCACCCATATATTGTTTTTCTTCTAATTGTTTTTAGTTTTCAAATTAAAAAAAAAAATTCTTGTGAGATGTAACACATATGTAAAGTATATACCAAAGTATTATAAATGTAAAAAATAAAAGCAAACAACTATGTGTTCACTTCCAGATCAAGGCATATAGAATGGCACTAGAAGATCAGATGCCCCCTTCCTATTACAAACCCCTCTCCAACCCCCAAGTGCTGGCTTTATTATCCCCCTGCTGTTCTTTGTCATTTTATTATCCAAACATATGTTTTGTTTGTTTTTTAAACCTTATTTAACTGGATTAATCCCATATATATTCTTTTGCTTGGTATCTTCTGTGAGATTCAATGTGTTCTGCTGTGCTGACCTATATTTCACTCATTTTCATTGTTGTCCACTGTATGAAAACAATTTATTTGTCTATGTATTGAATTGTTGATGGAAGTTTGGGCTGTTACCAGTTTTCAACGTTTACTGTTATGAACACTCTTGTATAGGTTTCTTCAGGTACTTGTGCCCTGTTCTCTAGGGTATGTGTCTAGGAGTGACATTGTTAGGTCATAGAATATGTATCTTCAACTTTGTAGACAGTAACAACTATTTTTTATTAATTGTACCATTTTGCACTTCGTAGTAGCATAACTAGTTTCCTGTGCTCCACATCTTCACTTACACAGTACTATTAGTTTTGATTTTTAAAATTTAGCCATTCCAATTGGGTTGTAGTGATATCTAACTCATTATGGTTTCCATTAGTTTTTCCTTAATTACTGTTGAGATTGAGCACATTTTTATAAATGACGATTTAGATTTCAAGTCTTTTGCTTATTGATTTGTAGTTCTTTTAATATTCTGGATATGAGTCCTTGCCAGTTTGATTATTATTGCTGTGTAACAAATCACTCCAAAATGTGGTGGTGTAAAACAGCAATTTTCTTTTTTTTTTTTCTCGTACTTTTGAGAGTAGGAATTTGAGAAGAATTTGGCTGAGTAATTCTCTCTTGGGGTTTTTCATATAGTTGTCAGCTATCTGAGGGCTTGACTAGATGTATGGCTGGCAGTTGATGCTGACTCATCTGGAACTTGGCTGGAACTGTCAACCGGCAGACCCTTCTTGGCCTTTCCAGCATGGCAATCTCAGGGTAGTTGAGCTGGCTTCCCCAGGGTGAGCCTCATGTAGAACATGATTTCAAAGAAGTAGTCACAGCCTGCTTAAGGGACATAGTCTCCAACTCTTGGAGGAGGGGGATGGAAGGTCACACTGCAGAAAAGCATATAATGGGAGGTATTATTGATGCCATCTTTGGAAGACATACTTGACCACATCACAATGTGCTACAAATCCCCTCTCCCATTCTGAGTCTTACTTTTCATTCTCTTAATGGTATCCTTTTCGGCTTGGCAGGAAGAGTTGGGGGTGGTGGTGATGGTAGGGACAGAAGATCTTAGTTTCAATACAGATCCCTTATGAGTTGAACCCTTATGAGTTATTTTCTATGTGGATGCTGCTATTTGTGTCCTTTCAAAGAAATATTTATGTTGATGTCATAAAGATGTTTTTTATCATTACAAATTTTAGCTGTTTTGTCTCTCACATTTATTTTTAATTTAATTTATTTATTTATTGTTTTCTTTATTGATTTTAGAAGAGAGAGGAAGGGAGAGAGAGATAGAAACATCAATGAGAAAGAAGATTGGTCACCTCCTGCATGCTCCTCCTCCGCCCCCACTGGGGATCGGACCCACAACCTGGGCATGTGCCCTGACCAAGAATTGAGCCAACAACCTCTTGGGTCCATGGGTCGATGCACAACCACTGAACCACACTGGTTGGTCTTGTCTCTCACATTTAGATCCTCAGGCATCTGTAATTGTTTCTGTGTCCTGTGATGAAGGGAGTCAAGTTTCTTTTTTCCCTATGAGTATATCTAATTGTCCCATGACTTTATATGAAAAGATCTTTTCACACTGTTCACTAGTTCCACATTGGTCATAAATTGCCATCATAAATCTACATTGCTTTGGTAATTTTCTGGGCTCTGTCTAGTTGTCTATGGAGCTAGTTGTGTATTTTTGTATTGATATCATGTCTTAATAGCTTTAGCTTTATAAAATCTTCATATCTCGAAGCACTTATTCTTCAGAAGTGACTTTGCAATTCTTGACAATTGACATTTCCATTTAAATTTTAAATTCATCTCATGAATTTCTACACACATCTGATAGACTGGGATTTAATTGGGGTTTACAATTAATCTATGACAAATTTGGGGAAAACTTTCTTTTAATCTATAAACATGGTATATCTCTTCATTTTTAGGTATTATACTCTCTCTGTAGTGTTTTTTTGTTTTCTGGGTAGAGTTCTTGGACATATTTTGTTATATTTATTCCTAGATATGCTATTGTAAAGATCATCATATGTTGATACTTTGTTTTTCTAATTGATTGCTCTTTGTATGTAAACATATAATTGATTTTTAAAAATTAGGTAGTTTTTTTTTTTTCAAATATATTTTTATTAATATTTTTTAGAGAGAGAGCAAGAGAGAGAGAGATAGAAACATCAATGTGAGAGAGAAATATTGATTGGCTGCCCCATGCACACCCCCTACTAAGGATTGAGCCCACAACCATGGTATGTGCCCTGACCAGGAATCCAGTCAGGACCTCTCAGTCCATGGGATGATGCTCAGTCCATTGATCCACACCAGCTGGGCTGTTTTCTTAATTCTGAATTTTTAAGATTCTTTACATATTTTAGATACAAATATTTTATCAGAAATATGATTTGAAAATATTTTCTCCCAAGCTGTGAGTTGTCTTTTCATTCTCTTCACATTGTCTTTTTTTTTTTTTCACCCGAGGATATTTTTGTGTTTGTCCTCAGATAGAGTGGGAGGGAGGGAGGGAGAAAGAGAGAGAAATATTGATGTGAGAAAGACACAGCGACTGGTGGCCACTCACAAGACTGCAACCAGGGCCAGGGAGGAACCGCAACTGAGGTACGTACCCTTAGCAGGAACTGAACCCGGGACTCTCTGGTCTGTGGGCTGAC